GATTTCAGTTCCGTTCAAGGTTTAGCTGTGGGTGTCTGCTTCTATTTCTACCAGCTGCTGGCTGAAAGCTATACGATGGCATATGAATTAGTCATCAATCTCATTATCAGAAGAGGGCATGTAAGAAAGTCTCTCCACTGTTGCTTAGATGGTTAGTTGGTGTCATCTTTGTAGCTTTCCAGACACTTCCCTAGTGCTTGATTTCTCTTTAAACCTATAATGTTTCCCTCTATTATATTATCTCTTATCTTGCTCTCTTCTGTTCTTCTCCAAACTCAACCTCCCTGCCCCACCATGTCTTCCTCACCCCTCCTCTTCTCCCCTTCTCATTCTCCAAGTTCCCTCTCCCCTACCTAACCCCATGCTCCCAATTTGCTCAGGAGATCTTGTCTCTTTCCCCTTCTCCAGGGAACCATGTATGTCTCTCTTAGGGTCCTCCTTGTTTACTAGCTTCTCTGGCAGTGTGGATTGTAGGCTGGTAATCCTTTACTCTCTGTCTAAAATCCACATATGAGTGAGAACATACCATGTTTGTCTTTTTGTGACTGGGTTACCTTGCTCAGAATGGTTTCTTCTAGTTCCATCCATTTGCCAGCAAATTTCAAGATCCCATTGTTTGTTTTGGTTTGTTTGTTTGTTTTTGTCCCCCCCCCCCCCCCAGGTCCTACCTCACTTTTTTAATTTTACCCATTTTCCATTCTTTAATTGAGAGTCATCTAGGTTGTTTCCAGGTTCTGGCTATTACAAATAATTCTGCGATGAACATCGTTGAACAGATGTCCTTGTTGTATGAATGTGCTTCTTTTGGGCATATGCCTAAGAGTGGAATTGCTGGATCTTGTGGTAGACTCATTCCCATTTTCCTGCAGAATTTCCATACTGATTTCCAAAGTGGTTGTACAAGTTGGCACTCCCAACAGCAGTGGAGGAGTGTTCCCTTTCTCCACATCCTCTCCAGCATAAATTGGTGTTTTTTATTTTAGCCATTCTGACAGGTGTAAGATAGTATCTCAGAGTTGTTGTGATTTGCATTTCCCTGATGGCTAAGGATGTTGAACACTTTCTTATGTGTCTTTCAGCCATTTTAGATTCCTCTATTGAGAATTGTCAATTTAGTTCTGTACCCCACTTTTTAATGGGATTATTTGGTGTTTGGCAGACTATCTTCTTGAGTTCTTTGTAAATTTTGGAGATCAGCTCTCTGTTGGATGTGGAGTTGGTGAATATCTTTTCCCAATCCGTGGGCTGCTGTTTTGTCTTGTTGACTGTGTCCTTTGTCTTACAGAAGCTTCTCAGTTTCAGGAGATCCCCATTTTTTAATTGTTGATTTCAGTGTCTGCGCTACTGGTGTTATGTTTAGGAATCGGTCTCCTGTACCAATCCGTTCAAGGGTATTTCCTACTTTCTCTTCTAGTAAGTTCAGTGTGGCTGGGTGTATGTTGAGGTCTTTGATTCATTTGGACTTAAGTTTTGTGCATGGTGATAGACATGGATCTATCTGCAGTCTTCTACATGCCAGCATCCAGCTATGCCAGCACCGTTGGTTGAAGATGCTTTCTTTATTCCATTGTATAGCTTTAGCTTCTTTTTCAAAAATCAGGTGTTTGTAGGTGTGCGGGTTAATATCAGCATTTTCAACTCGATTCCATTGGTCTACCTGTCTGTTTTTGTGCCAATATCAAGCTTTCTGCATTGTAACCTTTAATCCTAGTGTCTCCCCACCCACAGAAGCCTTGAGGCGTTTGCAGCTCTGAGGTCTCAGTGCATAGGCATGCCCTGGGATCAGACCAGCACTGAGCCTGATGGCCCCATTGCTTCCACTCTCCAGCCAGAGAGTCACCCTTCTCTTTTTCTGCCTGTTACTTACCTACAAAGCATCACTGCTCCAAGTCCTGCAGAAAGTTAATTTTTAAGAATCTTATGTTGAAAACATATGAACAAATGACTGCCTTTGTTTAGACTGTGTGGAGAGCCACCCTTTTTGGCAAACTCGGAGGAAAAGCTCTTTGAATTAATAAGAAAGGGAGAGCTAGAATTTGAAGACCCAGTCTGGGATTCCGTAAGTGAGTCTGGTGAGTATGGATTTGTATTATTTACTAAAGCAAACAATTAATATAAGGAAATTGACTACTAATAAAACTTTTGTAAATCTCTGGTTAATCATAGAATCTACTTTAGATTAAATGATATTTGTTCATAGAAATAGTAATATCTTCACTGTGGTTGTGATGGTCCAAATTTCCAGAAGCAAAACAAAGCAAAACAAAAAAATACCAATTAAAAAAATTGAAGTGGAAGCTTGCTGTCGAGTACCCAGTTTCACTATAAACCATTAATCCAGGTAATCCAGCAGTAGAAGATATTCAGTCCTTTTTATTAGACTTTCGTATTGGTGATACTTACCAATTAAAAAAATTGAAGTGGAAGCTTGCTGTCAAGTACCCAGTTTCACTATAAACCATTAATCCAGGTTATCCAGCAGTAGAAGATATTCAGTCCTTTTTATTAGACTTTCGCATTGGTGATACTTCACATCCTTTGTATATGCAGTCATAATCTAAATAAATGGGAAATGAATAATTTTTGTTTTGCTTTGTTTTCGTTAGCAGTGTTGGGGGAGGTGTCTCTCTCTTGAGTTGTCTCAATTTTTTGGCTTGTCTCAAATTTGTGTGCTCAAACACTACTCCTGTCTCAGCTTCTTAAGTAGCTGGGGCTACCGACCTGTGTCACCATGCCCAGCTGATGTGTGACATTAACTGAGGTTAAGAGAAATAAGATTTCAAGGTTTTCTCCCCTTTATTTGCAGCAAAAAATGTTTTGAAACAACTTATGAAAGTAGATCCTGCTCACAGAATCACAGCTAAGGAGCTTCTAGATAACCAGTGGTTGACAGTAAGTTACAGCGCTCCTTTTTAAAAACTTTCTTTCTGACATCACTCATTTTACATGGTCTTGTAGTCCTGAAGCGGTCAATTAGTTCCATCTTCTGACAAGTTAAAAAGAAGTAGTGAGTCTTGACACATTTCTGAAATGGGCAGTTCCAAATGTTTCCGACTGTCACCACAGTTGCTTGTCTGTATTTATAGACATTCAAATGAACTTTGTTTGTTCTCTGTCACAGAGGCTTCATGTCCAGTAGAACAGAACTGAGAAATATGTTATGAAACTGATGCAGATGAAGCAGTTGGGACAGGTTCCAGATGTAGAGTCTAGAACAAGTTCTGGCTCACTCAGCTCTCTGAGTATGGAAGCTTTGGGGGACCGTGGAGGACATGCTTCCTAATGGTCTTTATTACCTAGGCTGAAATATTTAGTCTTTATTTATTTGCATGTTGCTCTCCACCATTAGACTACAAACCTTGGTGCAGACACTTTGGCATCCTCTGCATCCCTATGCCAGAACAGGACCCAGTCACAGCTGGAACTTGGGTGAGGCTGCTATTGAGTCTTTAGCTGGAAACTTTGCTATCCAGTTAAGTGTGTCTTTATTCCCCAATGGTTTTAGTCACCATTGACGGCTAATGAGATGTGAAGGAACTGTGCAGTCTGCTCCTAAATGGAGCAGGCATAGCATTCTTCATGCCTTTCCTCTTTCCTGGTGGCTTGGAATGTGATGGCTGGTGATTGAGTAGCCATGCTGGGCAACAAAGCAGAACCACAAACTGGGATTGACAAACAACAATAAAATACAGAGTACCAGGGCATGTAGTTAACAAAGTCATCATGCCAATCTATTCCAGAACTTTTTGTTTTAGCAGAAAGTAAATTTCTTGTAACTTTACAATATTTTGGGATATGCAAGCAAGCCTAATCCTTGTTATTACAATTATCAATTATGAGTGATTTCTTTTGAGTGAACAATTCACTGTCATTAGGTCTGTAGGAATCACAAGGAAAGTATGAGGTTTGATACTAGAAATTACCAGCACTATATGAGATCATTATTGATACTATTCACTAAAAATTAAATATATATTTAGCTAGATGCTGTTTTAGTTACCAAGGACACTAATACAATTATATCTTAAATGAAAATTATTTGTGTAGTTACATTTTTAAAGTCATTCCAGGCATTTGTTGGGCAATGACTTAGAGATATAGAATTTGGTAAATATTGAGGTATCATTTCTGAGAGATGGTGGCAGTTTAGATATGGTAGAAACAAAGAAAACATGTGAGATACAGCATTTAGAAGCATGAATGAAAGGGCTGTAGATATAGTTCAGCAGTAGGGTATTTGCATAGCATGCCAAAATCCTGGGTTTGATCTTGAGCACTGAAGAAAAAAAGAGGGATGTGGAGGGTGGGATGAGGAAATGTGAACCACAGAATTTGATGGTGGATTGCATGAATAATAAAGGCATGGGAGGAACATTGAATGAAATCTAGATTTTGCTCCAACTGGTTGAACAGTGGTTCCTTTTATTGAGATGTGGATAGTTGTGGAAGAGTAGATTCTCTCTGCAGGACATGGGTGATGAGTCAAGATCTGAATTAGGTGTGATAAGTTTAAAATGCTATGTGCTAGCCAAGTAGACATGTCAAATAGATAAATAGATATGGGTCTGGAACTGGAGTAATAAACTATGAGTACATAGATACCATGTAAAAACCACCAGGCCCCAGAGATAAAGTAGGAATCACGCAAAGACAGAAGAAGCCTCACAACCTGCTTTTAACACTACAATGTCCAGAAGAGGCCCCGATAAGTTTAGATACCATAAATATATTGTGGTATCAGTTTTAATTTCTCTAATTTTCTTTTTACAATTTTGAACCACTTCTTTGAATAGCAATTCTTTTTCTTTAAGGCTAATACATAGTTTTCTCTCAAGCATGTAATGTATCTGCCCTCTTCTGTAACTATTTTGATCTCTTCTAGGATTCTGTGCTGTAATTATTTCTGGCCTACCCGCGAGATCATTGTAAAAAGTGCAGAGTAGATCTGTAGTACAGGAAAATACGAAGTTGTAAAACAGATGGCATGCTTTAGAAATTTGTCTCTTTTCAGCATCACACAACATTCGGGTTTGGCCATTTAATTATTTGTTTTCTAATTAGTTCAGCTTTATTTCTGGCTTTGGTCATTTTTCCAGAAGTCTCCATTTTCAAGCCTCTAACATTTGTCTCTCTGAAATCTTTGCCAAATGGATTAAAAAGTGACAGATATTGTGTACTATATTGGACTCTCCTAAGTTCAGTGCACGAAATTTAGAATGCTGGCATTTTACAAGCTTCTGAAAGGCATGACTCGTTTCTTCCTAACGCTTGAAGTCTCCCTTCCTGTAATTCATGTCCTCTGTTTGAAATCGTCTAAAGTGAGCAAGATGGTTCCCTCAAAGCCTTATTGCTTCATATCAGGGCCCGCTTTTCTCAATACCTAATGCTTGGTAACATTTTCTTTTCAAAGAGCTTTATTGGACAAAAAGTGTCTGAAGTTTAGCCTATGTATTGTGCATTTTGAAGCATGATACATATCTTAAATGTATTCCAAGAAAAAGAATTATTTTTTCTCTATACATTTAAGCGAACAAAATTTCAAATAAACACTAAGTGCCCCGTGGTTTCAAAAGCTGAATGGTAGATGTATAGAGAAGCCGAGGTGACCCTCATGCCTATCGGCAGGGGCAGGGTTTGAAGAGACCTCTGGCTGGGAATGCACTGGTATTTTTGGCCAGCTGTTTCCCCTTCCTCTTTCCTGTCAGCTCGGATCAGGCACTTCTTACTAGACCTTTTTGGAAGTCTTTCACTTTCTTCAAATCCCTGGGTCACAGGTTGACACCAAGAATTTACATTTTAAAAACACATCTCCAAGGAATTTCTTCTGACCTCTTACATTAAGACAATTGGCATAGAGAGAATATATATTAGGAGGATTGTTTTTCTTCTCCTGTGGCTTATAAAAAGGTAGCTTCCAGTCTGAGCTTTACAAGGATTTTTCATTCATGGGTAAATCCTTCAACATGCTTTTAATACATGCTGTTAGGTCATAGACCTACTAGCAGCCCCTCCTCCTCCTAGTCCCCTTGTGGCTCTCTCTCTCTCTCTCTCTCTCTCTCTCTCTCTCTCTCTCTGAATGCAGAGTTGGTAAGAAAGGAAGAAGCTGTGCTTGCAGTCTCTCCCTTCTGTAGCTACAGGATAAGTTTATGGTCCTACTACCTAGTCCTACCCCTATACCCTTGACTTATAGGCCAGCCTTCATGTGGCATGAAGTTTGCCAGGCCTCTACCTCCTGAAAATAAAAGTCAGAACTCCCTTTGTTTTTTTGGAACTGAAGGGTATGTTTGTCCCTTCAGGGCCCCTGTGGTATTTCTCCTAATGTAGCTCCTCTTGAAGAGAAGACTGTTTTCAAGGCCTCTTCGTGCTGCCTCTGGTCCTGATGCTTTGTCTCTTCTAATGTTCTCCCACTGGACCATGGGCTGTCAATGGTTGAGAGGCCCTCTTCTACGAAAGTTCATCTTCATGGCTCATCATGTGTCAACTCCTTGCTACAAACTTTCTATTCCTTCTCTACTGCTTAACACTTACTTGTCAGGCCCTGTGCTAGGTAATGAAAATGTATATACATAAAAGGCATGGTCTCTGAAATAAGGAACTTACAACCTAGTAAAGAAAGCAAGCAATATATAACTTGGAATTCAAGGAAGAAGACACAGGGAATTTTAAATGGTCAGAAATAGAGGGACAGGTATTATGAGGCCAGGAATTTCAATCTGACAGACGGATAAGATGCTGAAGAAAATGAATGGGAAAGGAAACCAGGGAAGAAAAGACAGCTGTGAAGGGATTAGATCCCAGGTCAAAAAATTTTACCTTCACTTCATAGTGAGGAACAATTGTGTGTGAGATCAACTTGCAAAGTGGCTTATTTTTAAATAATTCAGTATCTATTTAAATAGTGACCCTCATCTTAGCAAGTATCATTTGACTTTACATTTTCAGGTACTGTCAGGAGACAAAGATGAACAGCACACTTTCTCCCATAAGCCATTTCCTATGAGTTGAAGTGTGTACTTTGCTCTGTGGCCATACTCTGCAAAGGCACTGGTGACCAAGGTTTGGGGCTAGTTCCTGCATGGTCTCTCCCACTGTGCAAACATGGCCTGTGTTCAGTAATTTACACATCATTATTCAAGTTTTAGACATTAGTTTTTGACCATTAGCCTTGATAGACACACCCATAAGAGGATGGAAATGTTATGGTGCCTAACTAATTGTGGGTTATTTTTTCCTCCTATATATTTTCATCCTAAACACTTTAGAATTCCTTCTGCCATTCTACTACAAGGTTTCTCTTGAATTATAAATTATCTTATCCATACATATGCATGCATTTATGAATATGTTGTTGCATTCCAAATTAATGAAACGTTCAATAAAATGATATTAGGAAGAAGCTCATGAACTACGAAACAAGATTTAGTCAGTTATTGATACATACCCAAAATGAAACATGTTTATTGAATAACTGCTACATACTGAAGGGACCTGTGGGCCAGTCAGGTATGGTCTCTCTCTGTGGGTTCTCCTAATGAAGGTGGTTTAAAGCAAGACACAGGCAGATCTTGTAAGGAGGAATCACACACCCTACTGTTCAGCAGTAGTATGCAATTTGAGAATAACTGGGCTAATATTTTAAGTTCATCAAAGAAAAAATAACTTTAAACCTAAAATTTTATATCCATCCAAATGGTCATTAGCATGAAAAGAAATAGTGAAAGTATTTTTAAATATTCAAGACCTCAGAGAGTCCAGCACAGAAGCCAACACTTCGCACAGTTGATGGAGCTGTATATACGGGTGTCTTTACATACCTGGTGTAAGGGTTATTGGTGTCTTAAGCAAAACAAGAAGAGAAAATATGTTCATAATAATCCAGAATTAAAAGTTCA